GCGAGATAGACACCGCGCCGATAGAAGAACAGCTTGCCAAATGGGATGGCAAACATACCGCAGAAAATGCTTATTTTCATGGCCTGGAGCGCTGGCGAGACCGCATGATAGCTGATGCCAATATATTGAATGAATTTATTGCGCAAAACCCGAAAACTAGCCCGTTAGACATTCAGCGACTACGTACATTAATTCGCAACGCTCAAAAAGAGTCGGCCACGAATAAGCCCCCCAAGAGTAGCCGCGAACTATTTAAGTTGCTACGTGAGCTCACACAAATTGATATCAATGTGCACGATGACATTGATTCTGCTGATACTTGATTTGTCGCAAAAGATAAATTTATTTGTCAGGATAATATGCATTAGTGTTCTCAGAGGAGCCCTATGCAAGTTGATACCAACAACCTTTCACATTCACATTCCCTACCTGTTTCAGAATCGCTAGAACTCTCCGAATCTTCTGAGCAGGGATTAACTAATGATGAAGCTGGCATAAGGCTCACACTATTAGGTAAAAACTCTTTACCAGAGTTCAAGCGGCGTACTGCGTGGTTACGCTTTGCCTTGCAGTTTCATAACCCTTTGATTTATGTATTAATTGTAGCTGGGCTAATCACACTTTTGCTCAAAGATTATGTGGATACTAGCGTCATTTTTGCCGTCATCCTTATTAATGCAATCATCGGTTTTATACAAGAGGGTAAAGCCGAAAAAGCCTTAGAGGCTGTGCGCTCAATGTTGGCTAGTCACGCCAAAGTATTGCGTAATGGAGCGCAACTTCAAATCAATGCGGTAGATTTAGTCGTAGGCGATATTGTGTTGTTAGAATCTGGTGACAAAGTGCCTGCAGACTTGCGATTATTGCGCGTTAAAAATTTACATGTGATGGAAGCGGCACTCACGGGCGAATCTGTACCTGTTGAAAAATCTATCCAATTCGTACCTCAAAACGCCGCCATAGGCGATCGTACCTGCATGGCGTATTCTGGGACACTAGTTAGTTTTGGCCACGCGCAAGGCTTAGTAGTGGCCACAGGCCAACAAACTGAAATTGGCAAAATCGGCACATTGATGAGTGAAGTGCAAACACTTGCCACGCCTCTTACGCGCCGTCTAGATAGTTTTGCGCGACAAATTACGGTATTTATCTTAATAGTGAGCGCTGTCACTTTTGCTTATGGACATTGGATGATGCACATGCCTAAGCTGGATATTTTTCTTGCTGCAGTGGGTTTAGCGGTAGCAGCGATTCCTGAAGGTCTACCTGCAGTAGTCACCATAGTACTAGCCATTGGCACACGCATTATGGCGCATAATCGTGCTATTGTGCGGCGTTTGCCCGCGGTGGAAACCTTGGGCTCAGTCACAGTGATTTGTTCAGATAAAACGGGCACGCTGACCTGCAATGAAATGACTGCCGTACGCGTAATGTTGCCTACCCAAACCTTGCGAGTATCAGGCACAGGTTATGTACCAGAGGGGCGGTTTTTTAGAGATGAAACCGCAATAAGTGTTGCCGATGAAGGCGCACTGCAAGCATTGACACTTTGTGCCTTACTTTGCAATGACGCCCAACTCAAACACGATGATGCTGGCATATGGCGAATGGTAGGTGACCCAACTGAGGGCGCATTGCTAACCATGGCTTATAAAGCCGAATTTGAAGCACAAGATATGGCACTGCGTTACCCGCGTCTAGACGAAATTCCCTTTGAGTCAGAGCATCGCTACATGGCCACCTTGCACCATGACCATTCTGGCAAGGTGTTTATATTGCTTAAGGGTGCGCCAGAGCAAGTGTTAGATTTATGCGTGCAAGATGCTGGCGGTCATGCTTTTGATAAAGCTTTATGGCAAACCCGTATGAATGAAGCTGCCAGCCATGGTGAACGCCTATTAGCCCTAGCCCGTTGTGACGTGCCAACGGGTACTAGCACACTAAATAACTCTGACATCACACCACGCTTCACTTTGCTAGGGCTGGTAGGCATGATAGACCCACCGCGACCAGAAGCCATCGCTGCCGTCGCTGAATGCCAATCTGCGGGCTTGCGCGTCATGATGATTACGGGCGACCATGTGGTGACCGCTTCTGCCATTGCAAAACAATTAGGGCTCAATGCTGAACATGCACTCACTGGAAAGGTGATAGAAACGCTAAGTGATGCCGAGCTAAAATTGCATTTACAAACTGTCAACGTGATTGCTCGCGCCAGCCCACAACATAAATTACGCCTAGTCGCTGCTTTGCAAGCACAAGGCGCATTGGTCGCCATGACTGGTGATGGTGTCAATGATGCGCCTGCTATCAAGGCTGCCGACATTGGTATAGCGATGGGTAATAAAGGCACCGATGCCGCGCGCGAGGCAGCAGACTTGGTGCTCACCGATGACAACTTTGCCACCATTGCCCGTGCCGTGCGCGAAGGCCGTGTAGTGCTAGATAATATTAAAAAAGCCCTTCTGTTTATGCTGCCCACCAACGGTGGTGAGGCAGGCGTCATTCTTCTAGCGGTATTTGCAGGCATTGCCTTACCAATCACCGCAGGGCAAATTTTATGGATTAACATGGTAACAGCCGTCACGCTCGCCCTTGCCATCGCTTTTGAACCCGCAGAAGCAGG